TTTTCTTTTCTTTTCTTTTCTTTTCTTTTCTTTTCTTTTCTTTTCTTTTCTTTTCTTTTCTATTTTTATTAGCATGATATTTTCAAATGCTAATCAATGTGTGAGTTTACCACTATTAATATTTTACATAGCCAGTGCAAACTGACCTTTATGCTGTGAAATAAACAGTTGGGAACAGGAGTTTTGAGATGTCTCCCAGCACATGAAATCTTTTATAAGATTCAAGAAGAGCTCCTCAAGTAAAACCTTCTGATCTAGTTGGGCCTAGGATAGGATTTAACTAGTCACAAATGCTTTAAGCATTGGGCAGGAAACTGAGTCTTTTTGTTACATCTAAAACCCTTCTTTATTTCTATTTCACATCAGTAATGCTAGACTGGCATCAAACACATGGTCACTCACACACAGTTCCCCTTCTGTGATGCCGTAAGCAAAAGATATAAAGTGTGACCCAGAATTTGTCTCATGGAGCCTCATGCACTCTCTGCTCTGGTAATGGTGCTTCTTGACTCCCACATCAGTCCCATTTGTTTTGCTGGCAAGCAATCTGCAGAGTGGACTGTTGAGTGCAGCACCCTCACAGCACTTAGCACTACAGCACCATACCATCTGAAGTCTTTTCTACTTGAGTGAAATCCATAAAGAGTTGTATATAATAACTAAACCCTCCCTAAGGACTTGCATTTTCTGTTCCATCATAAACAGAAGGAACTGAGAATTAGTAGGCGAGACAAAGTTTTTGTCAGTAGAGTGAGCAAAAAGAGGCACATTTTTTCTCAATCTAGTGTCTGCCTCACCTCTGACTCAGAGGATTGACTTTTCTGGGTTGAAGGGCAGTTTATTTTTAAGGCTCATTCAGTCCTGGCCTCTGAGCCATGGTTGCAATCAAAGATGTCAATCAGCATTATCTGTAATTGTTTTATGATAGAGAACTGGAATGAGGCCACCAATTCATTTCCCACAGGCCCCAAATAAGCCATCTAATTGTCACAATTTTCAGTTATTGCTGACCTCAGGCAATTTCAAGCCATTATCTGGAGGTTAAAAGCTCCTGATATCATTACCTGAAACTAAAGCCATCTATGCTGTTGAATTCTCATTTCTGAAAAGATTTTTGGTCTGCCTACACTTCCTCGTATGCTCACAGCAGCTGTTGGTACCAGAATAGAGAAGTGATTGGTGGTGATTGGACTTAGAGGATTGGACTTAGCCAGTCCACAAGCCAACCACCTCGGTTCAGTTTTTTGCTGTGTGGCCCAAGGATGTGAGTTTAAAGTGGCTTTAAACCATCTGAATCAAACCCAAAGAGGAAGTCAATATTTACAAAAACATTTCAACAAGTAACACTAGGGGTTTTTATTGCTGTTCTGGGGACTGGTATTTCAGAAGCATAGAGAGCATTAGAAGATCTCTTTCCATTAACTTGATATTAGCTTGATAGTAACTTGATATTGGCTTGATATTGCATTTAAAAGTTTACTCTTTTGGGAGTGAGGTTCAGGCCATTATTTTTGCTTGGGTAGTTTAAGTTTTTTGTAGGTTTGTTTGTTTGTTTGTTTGTTTGGGGTTTTTTGATTTATTTTTTTTTCTCAAAGTGAAATGTTTAATGAATGGTCATCTTTACGTTTAGTTTTCCATTTTACTTAGAAAGCCGTTTGAAAGACCTATAGAGCATTTCACTATGAGAGACATTCTTAAAGATGGTTCATGATATTGTCTTCTTCTTTACAGTTCATCTATAGCTTTAATAAGATACAGCTATTGAGATTTTCTAAACTAAATGTAACTGGTTTTAGAAACAGAAATGCTGGTATCTCTGGCTATATTTACTAGTATTTTATTGCAAAAAGAGAGCACAGAAAATGAAATAGGTTGAGAAGAAAGAAACATTTCTGTGGAAGTAAAACTGGATAGATTTCAACTTCAAATTATTTTAGCTGCAGCTGATATCCTTTTTGCCTCTTTTGTGTAATGGGGGTAAAAAATCCAATGTAAACATAGAACCGGAAGATTGTTTGGGTTGGAAGGGACCTTAAAAATTATATTATTCCAACTACTATGGTCAGGGGCACCTTACACTAAACCAGGTTGCTCAGAGCTCCATCCAGCCTAATCTCTTGAACACTTCTAGAGATGAGGTATTCACAACTTGTCTAGGCAGCCTGTTCTATGCCTCATCACCCTCACAATATAGAACTTCCTCCTTATATCAAATCTAAACCTAGTCTCTTTATTTCATGTTTTTAATAAACCCTTAGAAGATCATTTAATATGTGTGTGTATGTATCTATATATAGATATAGATTATATAGATATAGATATTGATATAGAGGTAGATATTGATACATATAGATTTTTGGGGATGGTTGAGGAGTCAGAAATCAGATTAAACAGTATTTTTAGTGTCTCTTGGTCTAGTCTTTTTCTTTTTTCTGCTTCCTTTCTACTTTGTTCTCTGTCAGATGTATGGAAATTGTAGGTTGGATGACTTTTCTTGAATTCTTGAATCAAATTTTTTTAAATTCTAGCTCAGAAAACAATTCCGATTCAGACTGAGGATCCACTAAAGAGTATCTTAAGCAATAATCTTAAAATGAGAAAGATGAGAAGGAGTTGTAAGGACATCTAAGGGGACAAACTTCTCTATGTTACCTGGATCTCAGGTATGTATGTGAAATCTTGACACTGGTATGAGCAAAAATGGCAGTGTGTTGTGTTATGTAATGTTTGCCTAAATTGTGCTCACTTAAACTTTCCATCCTATCTATTTCTGCTCTGACTGTTGCATCATTTATTCAGTAAAGATCCTCTAGAGATGAAAGTATGTAAGACTTTGAGCCTGTAAATTATCATTAACATCCCTATTTTTCAACCATATAGGCAAAAGCTATCAGTCACAAGGTGAAAGTCTTTTTCCATTACTTTATCATTAATTTGGTTAAGCTCCGTAGCAAAGTAATGCACATAAAATTAAAAATAAAAGTGACTGAACAAGGAACAATGACACTAGGACAGTCATCAGTTTCCTTGTCAGAGCTGACAGGAAATATATTTGTTATTTCCCTTGTCTTTATTTTACCTTCTACAAACACAAAAATTCCACCAATGATCAGTGAAAAAAGAGTTCTCTCAGTGCAGTATTGATTAGACTTCCCCTCTGACAGCATGGACTGAGCTTGAGAAAAAGTTTCTTCTGCTACTCATTTAAGAAAATGGGCCTGATGCTTCAGATTTTGTTATTTATGCAGTCATTTATACCCGGATAAAAGCAGGTATGAAATGCAATCAGTTCAGTCTTGTTCTGATACATCTGGTATATACAGACATAAATCATGCATGAGCTGCTTAGTAGGGAAGAATCAAGTTTTAAGTATTTATGCTTTATGAACCTTCAACAGTTTCCAGTGAGTCAAAACTAGTCTTGGAAAAAAATGTACTTCAAGGAACTTCAAGGAGGTAATTGTTCCAATCTGTAGTGTTATCTCATGAACTTTGTCAGCAGTGATCTACTGCCAAGTTCTCAGTCCGTTGGCATTAATCCTCTTTGCTCTGAGACAATATTAACCCCCACCTTCTTTGGCCTCCCCAAGGACAAAACAGATTAGGAACACATGAATTTGCTGCTTAAAACCTTTTCTCTTTTAAGTAGTGTAAACAAATGTAAGAGACACAGTACAAGTTATTGCCATATAAGTCAGAGATTTCCTGGGGATATGTATGACCACAGTCTGTTCTATTTCTCATATGTGTGAAATAAATTAATTTATAAGAATAGGAGGTGAACCAGAGGAGAGGAAATGGGAGGGCAGAGACTCAGCCTTCCTTTGGTGTCACTTCCATGGAAGTGACTGAGCTTCATACCTCATAAAATATTCATCACATTGTTTGAAGACTAAAACATGTATGTGTCTGCTCTCAGCCTTAAGGAAAGATAGAAATTCCTCATGGATAAGATTTATATTCATTGTGTAAGCTTTTATGGGGTTGGTAAATCAGTGAGAATAAAGATCATGTGGAAAAATGGTTTGAAAAAGATGTTCTGTGTTGTAGCTCACAGCTCTCGTGCTGCAGAAATATGATTTATTTTCTTACTTCACTAACAAGACTATCTTGTGAGATGGATGTTAATCTCCACAGACTGCTCTTCCTCTAGAAAAAAATATTCCTTGAAGACATTTTTTAATGAGTTATAGGAACAAGTATCTATATCTCTGCCTCATATTAAAATGAATACTTCTGAAGCAGCCAACTTCTGGAGATTATTTTACTGTATTTTAAAGAGCAACAAGTATTCAAAAACAAAGAGTGTTGGTAGAAATTCCCTAATACATTACTACCTTTTAATTCTTAATTTTCCCTTCTGACTCCCCTTTTGCTTCCTCCTGCCAGTCTCAGAAACAGTGCTGACTGAAACAATGTCACTTTACCACAGTGTCCCTGCCTTTGTTCAGTCCTTCCCACATAGTCTTCAGTAGCTCCAGAGTTTTCATTTCTTTAGTAACATAGTCTTGTTTAATTTTTTTGTGGTTTCCTGTTAAATTTCCTTCATGAAAATAAATACATTTTAGAAATGTTTGAATTTTTTGAATCATTCACTTTCACAAATAAGATCAAATAGTTTTTCTTTGTTGATTATATGCTATACTATGGTAAGTCATATTTCTTTATTGAAGTTTGTGATTAAGTCCAGATGAACAATACTTTGGATTATGCCCTCAATCTTCTCTTCCAAACAGTGCCTCATGCCATCCATAATCCTAGGATAACTAAACTAACTTTTTCTGAGGGTCATTTAGCATCTATCATCCTTCAAATTTCTCTCCCTAAAATCTCTTTTACTGATAAGGCTAAATTTATTTGGAGGCTATAATTAGGTCTTGTCTCCTAGCTAAAAAGTATTTCCAAATTATAAAAATTATGTGCATCTACTCACACAATCTGCAGTATTCCCTCATGGGTGTATAAATAAAGTATATATATAATAATGTGTATAATATATTCTATATATATAGTAATATATAATCAACTAGATATTTGGTGATAGATAATCCCATATTTCTTGGGCTGGTACCACTCATCATAATGACACATGACATAAACTGACCCATGTCACAGAACCAAAGACATGACAAGAGAATGTGATTTCTGGGGGTGACTGCTTTTTCTACCAGTTTTTCATGGTCACCATGGCTGCCTAAATAATGTTTTGGGAGACTTTCCAGGTGGTGAGATAGTCCCAAACTATAGCTTGGGTGGTGAGATGGTCTTGGAGTGGTCTTGGAGTAATGGAAATATTAAATTCTTCTATAGTTATTTCGACTGTCAGAGAGGTGCCATTCTAGTTTTATTCTTCTATTGCAATTGGAATTACAGAGCAGCTGGGTTTGGGAAAACTAATTTTGTGTAGACGTGAATACTCTGTAGTAACTATTAGTTGATAATTACAACAAAAAGGGTCATCTTGGACAGAAGACATACTACTTATATGATCTGAAAGAATCACAGTCTAACCAGTTTGCGGGCTTTAAAAATATGAGCCAAATAATTACCTGCTTCAGAAATATTTTGCTTTTTTTCCTATAATATACTGGTATTTGCACTGCCATCCGACTTTGGCCATGGTCCAGGGCTCTATGTTACTAGGCAGTGTATGAAATAATACTAAGAACTCTCTTTCCCATGGTGTTTGCAATGTATGTTTAAGGTGAGACAGCAGCTGGAAACAGACACACCAAGGGAGTACAAGACTGAGGCAATACTGATCAATGTGCTGGGTAGTACCTAATTGAAGGGGCTTTTTATGCAGAGCACCACAATAGTTTTAAGGAGATTCTGGGAGAGCTTACAGGAAGTTCTAAAGTTGTGAGAAAAAGTAAAGAAATCTATTATGTTTTATATATATATTTATTATACTGTGTCAAATCCATAAACAGGGATATGACAATTATGTTATATTTGAAAATATTTTTTGGTAATACTGAGGCAATGCAGCAGGCAATCTGAACTGAAGTATTCTCCATCTAGCACTTAACCCTAGGGGGTCTTGACATAAATAGTTTTTTAAGCTTTCAGAGTTTTTTATGGGGTATCAAAGTTCATTTCAGGTTCATTTCAGCAGTCCCTTTTTGTAGAAAGCCCTGTCATCTGCAGAATACCTGAAAGGCTTTGCTAGATATTCTGCCTGAAGATAGGATGCCATTACGCTCTTTATTCTAGAATTTCACTGAAGTTGTATGCCCATGAGTCAACTTTGTTATGTATAATCACAAAATGGGAGAAATGTGGTTCCATTTTCAGTCCAAGGGCAGATCCCTAGTCTCAAAATAACAGTTTTAGTGACAGTATTTGATTTTATAAAAGGTAAATATTTATATAAAGCATAAATACAACAGCAAGAAGACTGCATACCCACAGGTTCATTAAGGAACCTGTTTCAGTCTCATCCCCCTCATAACCAAGTGTCTTCCTTATATCCCACCTCAACTATCCCTCCTTCAATTTAAAACCAGAGCCAGTCTTCTTGTCTTGTCTTTCTCTGTATTTCACATAAACATCCTATAAATATTGAAAGGCCACAAAGTTGTATCCCTTTTTGCTAAGCAAAATATTACATACTGCAAAACATCCATGGCAATTTTATTTTCTTAGCACTTTTCTGGTTTACAGCTGTATCTCAGTTACAGACTTTGGAAAGCTTTATTCTGAGACCAAAAGAAGAGTCACCACAGATTGGGCCCTTTGTCGGCAATCTACAGAATAGACACTGCCTTCCATCCTTATGGCATCTGAAGTAGAAATTGAAAGGCATCAAGCTCAACAAAACAGAATGCATTATTCACCCAATGTCAAAATTAAAATATTTGTCCACTAATTTTTACTCCACATGAAGATTTATTTCATTCAATATCAGTGCTACTTTTTCACCTTGAAAATTGTTTAAAAGTGTATTGAGACTTCTGTCCTCCAACACTAAATATTAGAGTTGCTGGAAGTACAACTCTTATCTTAAAAAACCCAGAAACCATATTCCAGCTGGTGCCTGAAAATAATTCAGCCATACTTCCAAGAGTGGTGGGTATTTTGTGGAATGTGCTAAGGTGAAAATTTTTCTTCTAAACCCATTAAAGACTTTTAAAAATATTAAAAGTAGTATATAGACAAGAGAAGAAAAACCATTATTAAAGACATATATTTATTCTTCTATATTAATTCAGTTTAAATGTGCTACTTTCTTGGAATAAAAATAGCCAATTTAATATTACTGAAGTGAGACTTATAGTTTTTTATATTTTTCATATATTGATAGCTTTGAAGATTACTAAAGCATGGCTGTATCTTCTAGTGCTTCTCCTATCTTTCTTCCCAGCATTTAGGAACAATAAGTTAACCTTATTAATACATTCCTAAATATTATTTAGTCTTATGCCAAGAAGAGAACCAGTTACAAGGATGTTCTGTTTTCCAACAAGAATCTGGACCAAGTATAACAAAAATGGGGGAAAAGAAACCTCTGGAATTCTTCCATTGGAGCAGAACCTCAGGAATAATTACATAACCAACTAGGCTTTTAATTAGATGGTATATGATAAGTGTACTGATCGACTAACCTTATAAAAATTGTAGAATTATTATACCCCATGTTTTTGCCATATTATGTACCTGAAAGCTTTCATGTAAAGGTTTGCTTTCATATTCACTCTAAGATCATTGGGATGATTTATTCTATTTTCTAGAAATCAGAAGAATTTTTATTTCTGACTGAAAGAATTGTAGCTCATCTTTGCTTTATTAAGAACAGTAAGTAAAAGTGATTACTCATACATGCTTGCAATCTCATTAGGCATTTGATATAAAAAATTATCCAATAAAAAGTCTAAGTAGGTTGTGGTATTTTTTTTATTTACTTTGAAAGGTTAGACAGAATCAGGTTTATTATTTCCATTTGCCTTAGAATTTGATTATTCAATCAACCTCCTTCAATCCAGGAAGTTACTTATGGTCCATCAGTTAAGTGATGTTATTTGGTTTCTGATGATTGATTAAAGAAAAAGATGTTATAAATAAATAAAGAAGATTGCTAGTTTCTTTCAGCTTCACTTTCTTCCCTAACTTATGTCACTCTTCCAGCAAAACTCACATGCAGAGAAGGTGGAGAATACCAAAGAATATAAGCAAGACAAAAGAGTCAAGATATACTGGGAGTTTTCCTTTAGTAACTATCAATCTTGTCAAGTGTAAATCAGCAATTTTTTTTCCTTTTAAAGACTTCTTTTGAATAATTTCTGAAGTCTTGAAGAATTGTTCTGGAAACAGATATTTCTTTGCTCATAGACTAACAAAGAGTATACAATAGGATTGTAGGCATATTAGGAGTTCTTATCCACCAATTCCTAAACTCTTTGTGACTGACTCATGGACTTAAAAAAAAAATTATTATAATGGAATACATATAAGCTTTTTTTTACATAGCTGACTTAACAGCAGACAGTTACTCCTGTGCATGCTTGAGACATGTATTTTCAAACATCCTTGAAATGGCTTAAATGCTGCTGAAAGAAATAAAATTTTAAGTGCCTAAATACTCTTGTAGTATTGTCCCAATAAGGCTCTGAAATACTTAATCATGGATTATATGACCTGACCTTGGTAGGCAACTGTACATTAATAACAACCCTTGCAATATCCATTTAGAGGTAGCATTTATGTTTCCTTAATGTAGATTTATTGCAGAAAAATAAATAACACATTGCTGAAAGCAACATAAATATTGGGAGTCTGCCCTGTGGTTGTAAAAGGCGATCTGAGAGGGAACCCTAAATTGCTTTTCTGTCTTGAGCTAAACTCTTACACCATGGGAAATAGATCTCCTAAAGTGGCTAGTCACTTTTGTTGATTCTGAAGTCTGAAATTGGGATGGGATGAATTATGAACTTATCTGCTTGCACCGAATGCCAGAGCTGAATAAATACAATGATCTAAAGTCAAAATACTGAATAGTATTAGGGTCACATAAGCACCATATAGGATGTTGAGACTGGAAAGAGTTCATCTATTATATTTTGCCATGCTGGATTGCCAAGTTAACTAGTTGAAAAAAGCGTGAGATATAATAATTAATACTTCAGAGTAAATAGCTTTATCCAAATTAGTGTTTTGTTCCTGATCCTGTTGTTAGGAACATATTCAAATTTAGGTTTAAGGATCTTGGTTTCTTCAAGGACCTGCTTGGTCCTGGAGAGGTGGAAGGATAGGTGGAAGGATAACTCCATCAGAACACAAGAATGGTTCATTTCACTGTGTGAAAAGTCAAGAAAGTGTGTCTGAAAAAGCTAGTGTGAATGAACATGGAGCCTCAGACCTCAGACATGTAAAAGACTGTAGGTGGAGGTGGGCTTCTTGATAACAGGAAGGTTAATGAAAATGTGTTCCTGTTATTACAAGGGAAGTGACCAAACAGCTGCAGAAAGTAGAGGTGCATTTTTTCTCAGTTTATGCTAGTAAAATCTGACCTTAAGGCTCTTAGCCTCCCAGTCCATAGGACAGACAGAACTCAACAATGGCAACTGTCTGGCATATTTCCAGACCTTACATCTGTCACCTTCAAAGATTGCAGCTTTGTTTCTGATGCTTGAAAAAAGCCAAACATCACAACATCCTTAAAAAGAGTAATAAGGAAAATCCATGCCATACATGCAGGTCAGCCGCCTCCTTAGTCCCTGGGGAGGGTCTGGATGTACCCTGAATTTAGCAAGGCTTTTTTCACAGCATCCCAGAGTTTCCTGATCACTGAATTAGTAAGATCCAGTTTAGACAGCTGAATGGCATGGTGGCTAGATGCATAGGCTCAAAGGGTTTTGATTGGTAGTGAAAATTACAGCTGGCAGGCATTAACTAGTGTTGCCTGGTGGCTGAACTGATGTTGTATCCCTCCAGTTTATTACCTTTATTAGAGCCTAGATGTTGGGAAAGCACTCCTAGATTGTTTGTGGATGACAGCAGCCTGGGAGAAGCAGTTAGTGATAAGGAAGGCAGGGCTGTAGTTGAGAAGGATGTGGAAAAAGACCTTGATGGGAATCCTGTGGGGTCCCTTAAGGCCAAGGAAAGTCTGGCCTCACAGGTGACAACCAGCTATGAAGAGCTGTGCAGAAAGGGTCCTGAGAGGCAGCAAGTTGCCAGAAGTCAGCAGTGCACCCAGGCATCACAGCAGCCCCTGCATAAGAGAATGGACCAGAGGGGAGTGGGATGGCCAGTGAGAGCGAATGCTGTCCAGATTTGGGCTACATGTGCAAATCACATTTCAGCGCTCCAGAATGAATCTAGCAGAGAGTCCTCACCATGGCCAGGGCACAGGGTAAAGACAGAGAGGCTGAGGGCGGTGTCAGTCCAAAGCAATGGTTTACATGATTAGTACAACTATTTCATTGATATGAATTAAAAGACAAACCAACCACCAATGGCATTCTCCTGATTTGCTTGGTATACTTTTCTGGGGTAAGAATTTATGGTACCCAGAGGCACCCTCTCACCCAAAACATCAGTTTCTGTATCAGTACCTCACTGCAAAAGGTACCTGGGTTAGTAAGGCACAACTTACCCTTCATAAATCCATTCTCCCAGTCATCTTGTTTATTTGTAGCTACAAGAGTCCATAGGAGGATGCACTTCATCCCCTTCTCAGAAATTGACATAAGGTTGAGTTACTGGTCTGTAGTTCTCCAAATCCTTCTTTTGCCCTATCTGAAAATCATTGTGATGGTGGTTTCCTTCTTTGTTTTTGACCACTTACAACTTTCTGTTGAATAGGAGCCACTCTGGAGTGATATGTTTGGAAAGGGAACAAAATGAATTTTCCTTTTTAGAGTTCAAGAAGAGCAAGATTTCCAAGCTGCTTGAGAGTGTGGCTTGTGATTTTTAAATTTATTTCACTAATCTTTACTCTGTCACAGCCTCACTTCATTTTGACTCTTTTATGTTTAAATACAAGATAAAACCTGATATTTTTAAAATGAGGTTGTTATTTATTTTCTTCACAGACCAGACTGGTAGTCTCTCTTTTTTATAGTCTCCATCAATGGATCCTTTTACACTTAGACTCATAGTTTTCTTTGCTTATTGTGGAGCAATACAGCTTAAACAGAGACAATTTTCAGACTTTATATTCAGGTAATAGAAATTTTCAACAAGGTTGATCTAATCTAAATTTATGCTTCTACCATGTCTTTGATTTCTATTTTGATTTCTTTGATTTTTTAATCCTACATTGCTTATTTTGCTTTTACTCATGTACTAGTAAATTTGAGAACTAAATTTTATTGCCTGCATTTTAGCTGTAGTTAAGCAAAATAGTAGTTATTTAGAAAATAGCTTCCCATCCATGCATGTGAATATGTATGTCAAAATTTTGGTTTTTATTAGTCCTGAGAAATTATCCTAGGAATATTTTTGATTTTTAAGGAGTTGTTGAATATAGCACCTACCTTTTATTGAGAAGCAATGGTGTTAAATTATTATTATTATTATTATTATTATTATTATTATTATTATTGTTATTATTATTATTAACTTTTGGGGGTCACTTGCAGCTGTCCCCTGTCCCTCCCCGGCCCCCCGGGACCCTCCGGCTAGCTGTCCCCTCTGGGGGCCAGGGTTTGCCGCAGTCCCGCTGCCCTGGGCTTACCAGGCAGCGTCTGAGTTAGCACGGTCCGAGCTCCGGCATTTGGGTGCAGGAGGCTTGGCAGCCCTTGGTGTTTTTGGGGTTACCGTTGCCTCTGCAACCACCTTTCCCCACGGTTTTATCACTGAGTCCTCTGTCATTAGGGTGGCTTTTCTTGTGCACTCCTCAATGAGCTGATCGAGTGTGGGTGGAGGAGGTGCTGGAAGGGCCATGAGGACTCGCTGACAGGATTCATTTGCATTTCTGGTGACAATTTCTAATGTGAGCTGATCTTGGAGTTCTGGATTTTTCACCCTTTTTTTGACTGAAGATCTCACTCGATCCACAAAACCCATGAATGGCTCTGCAACAGGCTGCTTTAAAGTGGTATAAGAAATGATAGGTTCTCTAGAAGGCATGTTAAAAAATGCACGTTCTGCCGCATCCCTGGACAGGTCTAACACTGCTCAGGGAATGCCTGCTGCTTGCTTCACAGCTTGGCTCCAATCACCCTCACCCACTAGATGTTCTAAAGTGCTCTCCTCATCCTCTATATCTGTGGAATAGGTTGGACTCTGCAAAATCTCTGGAAGGGGATCTCCTGCAAGCCTTTTCCAAGTTCTTTCCCACAATTTAAATTCAGATTGAGGGAGCAAACAGCTGAAAAGATGTCTCGAATCAGCAGGGGTAAATGTTTTGGACCTTAGAGTAGTTTTTAAAATGCTCTTAAAAAATTCAGTCCTTTCTCCAAACTCACGCTTTGTTTTGCAGAGTTCCCTGATACTGTCGTATGACAGGGCCCTTCCGATTCAATCATCCTTGGTAAGTTGCCACATCTCCACGGGTTGATCTTTCAATGGGACACAGACCAACGAGATCCCCTCTTAATTATAGAGTGGGTGTTCCTTGGTCACCAGTTGTCCAAAAGTATCACCAAGTCACAAGAGTTGATGGCCCAGCTGATCATGTGGGCCAGAGTGACTTAACATGCATTCATCTTCCTATCAGAATATCCGCAGGGAGACTCTCTGAGGAAATACTCAAGCACCTGTTTCAGACCAATGAAAACTTGCAATTCTCCCTAGACAGTTTCACTGGACAAATTCTTATCAACCATGCAGGCCACAGATTGTTTGAAATGCAGTTTCATTTGATTCCAAAAAGTATCCAGAGCAGTGAGCCACTGAAAGCACTGACGGTTTTCACAGACGCGTCAGGAGGGTCCCACAAATCTGTGATCACATGGAAAGGACCCCCGACTCAGCAGTGGGAAGCTGATGTAAAAGTTGTAGAGGGCTCCCCACAGGTTGCTGAGCTGGACGCTGTTGTCAGGGCCTTTGAGAGGTTTTCAGAACCAATTAATATAGTTACAGATTCAGCATATGTGGCAGGTGTGGTGTCCAGGGCAGAACATGCAGTACTCAAAGAGGTTTCCAACCTGGTGATATTCAGTTTGCTCTCAAAACTAATCCATCTGGTTTCACACCAAGAACAGCCTTTTTTTGTAATGCATGTGAGATCATACACCAATCTCCCAGGTTTTATAGCAGAAGGTAACCGCAGGGCAGATGCACTGGCCCCCCCTCTGCAGCTGGCTGGCCAACCAAACATCCTCGAGCAGGCCAAGGTAAGCCATCAATTGTTTCATAAAAATGCCCCAGGACTGGTCCGCCAATTCCAACTGCGGCGTGACCAGGCCAAGGCAATTGTGGCTGCTTGCCCCCAGTGTCAGGAGTCCACTCTACCAACAGTGAGTTCAGGAATGAACCCCAGGGGACTCCACAGCGGTGAAGTGTGGCAAACAGACATGACACATATACAGGAGTTCGGGAGGTTTCAACATGTACATGTTTCAGTAGATACTTTCTCCAGAGCAGTCTTTGCCTCAGCCCACACTGGACAGAGAGCTGCAGATGCCAAAAAACACCTCATGCAGGCATTTGTGGCCTTGGGGGTCCCCACCACCATCAAAACAGATAATGGCCCAGCCTATATTTCCAGAGCATTTGGTGAGTTTTTACAAGAGTGGGGGGTGAACCATTGAATGGGAATTGCACACTCCCCCACTGGCCAGGCTGTGATAGAAAGAACACATCAGACCCTAAAAAAGGTCCTCCTTCGCCAGCGGGGAGATATCCAGGTCCTATCTCCACAGATGAGGCTCTGCAAGGACTTTTTCACCATTAACTTCTTAAATTGTTCTTTTGATAGGCCTGAACCCCTAGTCCTGCCTCATTTTAAACATCAGCAGCTCAGACCTGAAGAGAGGCCTCCAGTGTTAATTAGGGATCCAGACTGGAGAAATCCAGGGTCCGCACCAGCTTATCACTTGGGGACTGGGGTATGTGTGCGTGTCCACATCCTCCAGACTCAGGTGGATTCCTAAGAAATGGGTCAGACCATATACTGCTGAACAGGGAGTGAGCCCACCACAGAGTAACCCTCCTGATGCCCAGGGGAATCCCACAGAGAACACAGTTGTGTCAAACACAAAATGCCACAAGGAAGGAGGAGATCCCTAATTCCTATTTTCCTTTATACTGGCAGAGCAAATTGTATCATTTTCAGAGTTAGTTTACCTTCTTGTATGATTTTATCTTTCTTTTAGACTAGCAGAATGTCAATTTCCACATTTCTGCTCATTGTTTGGTTCCAGAAAATGGCCATCTAACCATCCATGGTGGATGCATGGATTGTTCCACAGCCCAAGAAAAATGTGTGGGTCACACTTGCCCAAGCCTTGAAACAAGATCACATGTCTAATGCCTCAGCAGAAAATCCGATGTCCACATGTTTAGTAGGGGTTCGGAGCAAGGGGGATGGGTTCCCAATTGGTCTGGTCCGCTTGCAAAAGCAGGTGAATGAAAATAAAATACCTGAGGTGTGGGCAGAGTTCCACAGGAGCCGAGGAGCCGTAGAACAAGTTAAAATACCGGTGCAAAACCCCCTCATTTTGTGGCAAAGATGCGTCCTACACTTGCCTACTGCTGAGGGAGAGGCCCAGGAATAAGAACTCCTGGGCTCCACAAAAGCTGAATACTGCATTCAATTTGATTTTTCCCCAACCAAAGAAGTGAAATTGTATGAGCAAGTCAAACAGTACAAGGTAGAATTCAGAGCAGGTCAATGGTGCACAGCTATCAATAAGCTGAAATTTGCATCCACCACTGATTTCTGTCCCTGCAAGCTGGACAAGGGAATGTTTCTTATCTGTGGGGACAGAGCATACCCAGGAATCCCCTCTTGTCTTATTGGAGGTCCATGCACTTTCGGGCATCTGACCCTTGCTTCCCCCAGCATGACCCAAATTCCCATTGGGCAAGCAAAAGGTGAGACAAAAATTACTAAGTGGAGTGCAAGTCAATTTGATGAACATTGTGATGCAGAAATCTACCATTGGGCAAAATCCAAAAGAGTTGCTGTCTCTGTGTTTTTACCATGGGTTGCGGCAGCCAAAGCATTGAGTGAATTAGGCAATCTAGAATGCTGGGTGATGAAGCAGGCAAATTTAATATCAGCAGCCCTGAGTGACCTCCTAGAAGACGAGGAAATAAGCAGAAAGGCTACCCTCTAAAATCGAGCAGCTATTGACTTCCTGCTGTTGGCACATGGTCATGGATGTAAAGGGTTTGATGGGTTGTGTTGTTTTGATCTGTCATCTAAAGGTCAGAGTGTCCATTCGTCCATTCAGGAAATGAGAAGCCTCATTGGGAGTGTGAAGCAGAAAAATGAGGATTAGTTTAAGGATCTGTTCAAAGACTGGGACCTTTCTGGTTGGGCAGTGTCTCTTTTAAAAGACATCTTTTACTTTCTAGTTGCACTGTTTTTAGTCCTGTTAGCATTCGGGATTCTTAAGCAAATAATCTCCAAGGTCATCACCTCGAAGCCTAAGGCTTCTGCACCTGTTTTCATCACTGCTGCTGTCATGGAAGGCAATTGATGTAAAGACAACAAGCAGAACAACACCACAGTTTGAGAGTCGCAGTTTTACCTTTTCCCAAGGCACTGTTCATCTTATTAAGTAAAGAAGAGGGAGATGTTACTATCGCATTTGTGCGGTAGTGGGGAGGAGAGGGTTTTAGACAGGCCTTAGGAATGGGAAACTCAGAAAAAGATACATTTACGTATGCTCTATTGTTTCGGGAAAGTTTCGCTTCAGCATTTTTCTGTAACCCCCTTCTCCCCATCCCTGAGCAGTTCCCATTGGACCTGACCCCTGGGGTGGTTCTGATGTGCCCAGGCTGGACACTGTCTCTATTGTTTAGACCTTATCTCTTAATTTTTCTGTATAAAACTGTATCTGGGCAGTAGCCCAGCGTCTTTTGTCCCTGCAACCATTCAGGCAATACAATCTCTCTGGACTGCACACAATTGACCTCTCTTTGTCTCTTTATCCTGAATCCTTGTGGTGACCAAGGCATGCCGCCGCTCGGATCATGCTAACCCAGCCACTGTCTGGTAAGCTCAGTGCAGTGGGACTGCGGCAAAGACCAGGTCCCTTGAGGGGACAGCTTATCATAGGGGTCCCGGGGGCCTGGGGAGGGACGGGGGACAGCCACAAGTGACCCCTGAAAGCCACATTATTATTATTATTATTATTATTATTATTATTATTATTATTATTACATAATAATAATATTGTTTGTGCTTTTTTTTATTATTGGTGTCGTCCTGCAGTTGCAACTGAAGAGTTTTCTGTTTCAATGGATCACAATTGACATAAACAGCAAGAATAAAGCAGTCTTCATTCTGTTTATTTAACATATCTGAGACATGGTCTTAGCTATCACTCCTAGGAGAGATAAAATGTTTCTCATGACTGAATCCAAAGCAGCAGGTGGATATTTTTCTTCTTCTTCCACTTCAATGTTATTCATTGAGGAATTTTGTCGGTATAGAGAAGACAAACTTCCTTAATGTCCAATACATATAATAAAAAACATTGTACTTCATCACCACTCATGCCAGTCTTAATTTTTGTACATTGAGCTTATGATCAGTGCACAGACAGCTGGGTAGCACATATCTGAACTAGTATGAGGACACAGTACAAAACTTCTTGCCAGAACTACATAAAAATGGTAGGCTCCTATTCAAATCCAATAGACACACATTTTGTAGGCTTCACAAAGCTCCTGCATGCCCTGTGTCCTCTGTTCATTTTCAGGAGTTAGCTTCACTCAGATGTACAGGTTTTGTCCAGTGTTTGGGCTTCATATCAGAATAAAAGCTGGTGTACTGCTTCTTAAAGGACATTTTATTAAAATTGCCTGTCTGACCATAAGCAGGCATAATCCAGCATTCATTTGTTCTTCCACCCATAAGCTTTTTAATTAGGAAAATATTGGGCCTCACTTGGTCCACATTTCACCACTAACTACTTTGATGTTCTAGTACTAATTCATCAGTATCGTGCTAGACCAGGCAAGGAAGTTGGTCTTTAAAGTTACTCCTTGAAGCACAGTTTGTAGGAGCTGATGTTAGGTTATCACACAGTAGAACCCAAAAAAAAAGTGCTTTCATTTCAGCTTCTTTGAAAAACTGTCCAAAAAACAGAGGAGAATTTGTGAAACCACAGAGATGCATGGCTGCAGATGTGATTTCAAAAGCACTGCGGGAAATATGATTGTGCTATTCAAAAAATGGAGTTTAAGAAACTGAGGTGAGCTGACCCTGGAATGATGCCAGATGGCCACCAAGCCCCTCTATCACTGCCCTTCTCAGCAGGACAAAGAAGTGAAATTATAGCAAACATCTCATGAACTGAGATAGGGAAGAGAGATATCATACACCTTTTACTGTCACGGGCAAAACAGACTTGA